GTGGAAACTTCAGTTGCCTTACAGCAAGGGCTCGGGGACTCCTTCAGGGAGGAGGGAACTGGTCTCTCAGATTAGGAGGGGCTGGTGTTGCACTTGGTCAACCTCTTCTTGGCTTCATTCAGGCTGAGAGACGGATCTCCTTGGCACCGTGTTCATTGGGCAAGGAGTCTGGGGCACGCAAGGAAATACACTTGTATTTGGGAAGTGAATGATTGGCATCCTGGATGTATACTCAGAAGTATTAGCGATGACTGAGGTTAGCTCTGAACATTTTTACAGCCCTGTTGTCACTACGAGAGGTAAAGAGGAATTTTTTTTTTTTTAAAGGCGAGGAGGGTTAAGTTTTCTCAACCATCACCTCAATAATGAAGAGCCATAATATATACATATATATAGTGCCGCATTGCAACTATCCCACGAGTTATCGACAGTTAATATTTTATTTTTCCCTTTTCATTTAAAAATGTGCTCATTAGCCGAAACCAGATTGGCTCAGTGGATAGAGCATCAGCCTGCGGACTGAAGGGCCCTGGGTTCAATTCCAGTCAAGGACCTTTACATTGCTCGCGAGCACATCCCCAGTAGGGGTAGGAGGTGTACAGGAGGTGGCTGGTCGATGTTTCTCTCTCATCAATGTTTCTAACTCTCTATCCCTTTTCCTTTCTCTCTGTAGAAAAAAAAATCAATAAAATATATTTTTAAAATTTTAAAAATAAAAATGTGCTCATTAATTTAAAGTTAAGATGTTATTGACAACATTTTTAATTTTCAAAAAATCTTATAATGGTCTTACTTCCCAAGTAGTCTCTCTCACTATTGATGGGATTATAAATTGGTGCTCAGTGTCTGTGATAAAGCTTCAATACTACATCTACCCTTTGCAGCAGCAATTTAATTTTTAGGACTTTATGCTGTGGTATGTTGGGCATGTGGGCAAGGTTTACATGTTAATATTATACACGTTAACGTATTAAGTGTTACATATTTTTAAAATCATAAATGATCAAATTTTAAAGTAAAACAGAACTAGCTAAATAAATCATGGTACATCTATATAGTAAAATTCTTTATGGTCGCACATCTTGATGTACAGATGTTTTAATGACATGAAAAATGTTCAGGATATATTACTAAGTTAAAAAAACAAACAAAAGCATGCATCATTTAATACATATTTAATACACATAGATGCAGACACTAGAGTGAAATATATCAATATGTTAAAATAGTTTAAATGGCCATTTTGAGTGGTGGGTAATAAAATTCTTCCCTTCCCTCCCTCCTTTCCTTTCTTTTCCTTTTTCTTCCTTTTTTACCCTCCTCCTCTTAAAAAAAAATATTTCTATTGATTTCAGAGATGAAGGGAGAGAGAGAGAGAGTTAGAAACATCAATGATGAGAGAGAGAATCATTGATCAGCTGCCTCCTGCATGCCCCCTACTGGGGATGGAGTCTACAAAGCAAGCACATGCCCTTGGCCTGAATCAAACCTGGGACCCTTCAGTTGGCAGGCCGACACTCTACCCACTGAGCCAAACCAGCCAGGGCAACCCTCCTTCTTATACCTGGTTTTCTGTTTTCCAAGGTTTGGGGCTTTCATTTTATATATTTTTTTTCTTTTTACATTATCTTATAAAAGTCTGCTATTTGGATTTTCTTTAGGGAATTTATGTGGAAAAAGAAAGTGAAATAATTGTCTTCCTCTCTTTTCTATTCGATACCTTTTCCCTCAATAATTTGAAGGTCTCTCCCTCCCTGGCTGAAGAAAGGAGAAAATAGGAAAAGGAGGAGCAACACTCCATGGTGCCTTTCAGAAGAAGACCTAGACAACAATTCTGCCCCGTCCATTCCTCTTCGGGAAATCAATTTTTTAAATGACATCTATTTTTTTTTTTTTTTTTTACCTGGTCTGATAGTTGAAAAACTAGTAGAAATACAAGTCACTATTTGCTGTATAATTATTTCATGGTATTTCATGGTATTCATATATTTCTTCTCCACAATAGTTAAGAAATTAGTTTCACCTGAAAAATTTAATAATTTATAGCTTTTCTGATACTTCATAACATTTTTTTCTAATGAGTTAATAAATCTAGGGTGTTTTTTTTCCATTTTCTAATTAATGTCTGAATAGCATTTTTTTCAAGAAAACCAAAACAAGTCATATTTGAAGGTCAGGATAAGAAAAGTGCTAATAGAAAAGATAATGTTCATTAAGACTAAAAGCACTTGACTTCCTCAGTTCTCCTGATATTGAAGTCTTAGAGTTAGGGAAGGTGCATAGCACATAATAGGTTAAGAAATATTGAGAACTGGAAACTGGTAGTGGCAATAGTGCTTATATTGTTCTAACAACTGAATATAGTCTGACATGAACAGATGGTATGAGTTTCAGGAATATTAAGCTTGTGGTAGGTAAGTGAAATTTATGCCAGAGTATATTTTCAAGCAATCCTTTTAAAAAAGTGAATCCTGCAATAGCTAGGATCTGAAAACAGCTCACGTGCCCATCAGCAGATGAGTAGATAAAAAAACTGCAGTCCATTTACACCATGGAATACTATGCAGATATAAAAAAAGATCCCTTTGAAATACCATGGAGGGACCTGGAGTGTATTATGCTGAGTGAAATAAGCCAGGCAGAGAAAGTTAAGTATCACATGATCTCATTCGTATGTGAAATCTAAATAAACTAATGAACAAAATAGTTCCAGAGGCATAGTAGCATGGAACAGACTTACAAACTGCAGAAGGAAGGCAGGTGGGGAGAGATTAACCAGGGAGCTTATATGCACCAGACAATAGGGTAGGGAAGGCCTGGGAGGGTTTTGTGTCTGGTGGATGGTGGCCAAAGGGGGGGGGGGGAGAGGAAATCAGGGGACATCTGTAATACATTTAACAATAAATATTTTTTTAAGTGAATCCTATCAGCACAATCATGATAGATGCTCCATGCTTTTCTTTTCAGAGAAAATTGATGGTAGAACCAGTGTTTTCGCTTTGCCTTTTAACTCCTGCCCATGCTCCGGGTGTGCCACGGATCTCAGATTGAGCACCAGGGATGCTGGGCCCATGATTCAGGCCAGGCTGAGTGTGTCTGGGGGCTGGAGATGTGGCATGCCATGCTTCTCTCTTCCCAAAGGCCAGACGAATTCTGTAGGAAGGAAGTCATGGCAGGAATCAGGGCCGAGAGCCAGGGGCCGCCTTCAGAAATCCCAGCAGGAACTTCTAGTTGGTTCAGTGTCAAGGAGAGCCACTGCCAGTGGACTGAAACCTGAGGGATAAGGAACAAAATGGCAGACTTTGCAAGAACAAATTCTTGGAATACCGATGGCGAATGTGTGTGGGGAGGGATTTCCGAACCATGGGAGAACGTTGAAGGATTGCTACAGACACTGTGGAGATATACTCCTTTGGATCCATTATGGTTACTCTGGTCTCACTCTCAGCCTCTGGTCAGCTGGAAAACGTTATATCCCTTTCCAAAGAATAGTTTTCAGGTGGGGTACACAAAGGCACATAGGCGGGCTTCTTGCTCCTGCCTTTAAAACAATAAACACTAGAATTATCATTTGGAGAAAACATCAGCTACCAGGAAATTAGCCAGTTAGTGTGTGAGAGTGTGTGTAGGGGAGCGGGGCGGGGGCGGGGAATGGGGAGGACCCTTGAATAGAATATAATCTTTCAAATAAGAAATCTTCATTCTTGGGTCAGACTGATTAATGAGGTGTCGTTTAGACTGCCAAATTGGGTTTATCCCTTTGGCATGCAACTGAGCATCATAAGCACTCAGATAGGCATATTCTATGGCGTTACACTGCTTCTTTGGTATTGCATAGCTAGTCTTCTTTGTAGTGTTCTATCTGATTTGGAAAATAGTTCAGAACAACCCAGAAACAACTTCAAGATAAAAAAGTTGTACACCCTTCACAGCTCCTTCCTATTGCATGAACGTGCACATTGAATGCTCTCTCGAGATGAAAAACACAAGGGTTGGCTTCCCAAAAATGTTTTCATTGGCTTTAGGGAACTAAAACACAGCAGTCAGGGTGACTAATACTTCCTGTAAAATAAAGACGGATCAACACATAATTAAGTTCTGGCTCAAATATAATTGTTGTCTTGGAAACAGTTTGAGGAATAAATATGGTTATGCTAATGAAACTCCTCGTGATTCCCACCGAGGATCCCGTCTATTAATTAGGCCAGGCCCAGGGTCGGCAAACCGCAGCTCGCGAGCCACATGCAGATCTTTGGCCCCTTGAGTGTGGCTCTTCCATAAAATACAACGGCCTGGGCGAGTCTATTTTGAAGAAGTGGCGTTAGAAGAAATTTAAGTTTAGAAAACTTGGCTCTCAAAAGAAATCTCAACCGTTGTACTGTTGATAATCGGCTCTGTAGACTAATGAGTTTGCCGACCACTGGGCCAGGCCATTTTACAACCTGGTGCTATCCATGCTGTAACATTTAAAGGGTTAAGTATAGTTCCTAAAAAAGGAGAGAAAAAAAACGATAAATCTTAAATTCCTAATCGGCTCCCGTAAGGATTCCAGTGTGTGTGTGTATGTGTGTGTGTGTGTGTGTGTCTTAGTTTGTGGGTTTCAAAGATTCTTTTTACCCGGTTAGACAGAAAGTTGTACAGAACGCATTTTGAACGAGTAAATTCCTAGAGTTATTTCTCTTGACTCCTTGAGGGCTTTAACATGGGATCAACCGGGAGAAGCAAGAGAAAGCAAGTACTCTGTGCTGGGTCCAGCTCTGAGTCCAGCCCTTCTGCAGGAAGTTCTCCTCGGTGGTGGCCCCCGGGGCAGCTGCCCGGCGGGAGGGTTTGGCCGAAGCCCAGTGTGAACTCGGGGCGCGGAGCGCACGGCGGCTCCGATCACACCCACTCGGGGTGCGCGTGTGTGAGCGCGCGTGTGCCTGCGCCCGTGTGTGTGTGTGTGTGTGTGTGTGTGTGTGTGTGTGTGTGTGTGTGTGTCTGCGCCCGTGTGTGCGCGTGCGGGGAGGTGTGCGCCGAGGGGTGGGGTCAGGCGGCGAGGAGGGCGCCGGTGACTCGGAGGAGCCGGGGAGGTCGCCCGGTCCGCCTCGCTCCCCAGTACCCGGCGCCTCGCTCGCGCTCCGGCTGCCCCTCGCCGCGCCCCGGCGGCGCCCAGGCCTCCAGGCCCCGCTCCCGCCTCCGGCCGCCCCCCCGGACCCCTGTGCCCGGCCGGGGCGCGCCACCGGGACCTGCATGCGGGGCGCGCGCCCGCCCCGGGAGAGAGCGGCCGCCGGCGCCCCCGAGGCGGAGCCCGGCCGCGCGGGAGGAGCGCGCGGAGCGGGAGGAGCGCGCGGAGGAGGAGCGGCCCGGGCCCGGTCCCCCGCGCGCCGCGGCCCGGGAGCACGGGCCCCCCGCAGGGCGCTGCGGCCGGCGGCCCCGGCCCGGAGGAGGGACCCGGAAGCAGAAGCGCAGCCGCCGCGAGTGGAGCGGCGCCGCTGCCCCCGCCGCCCGCCGGCGCCGGCTGGGGGTCCCGGCGGCTGGATGGGCCGCGGCGGCGCGGGCCGCGGGCGGCGATGGGCGAGGAGCAGAGCACCGTGAGCGGCGGCGGCGGCGCCCCGGAGCCGGGCCACCCCGCCGCGGGCTCCCCCGAGCCCCCGAGGCCGCCGCGGGGGGACGGCGGCGGGGCGCCCGGGCCGCCCGCTGCCTCCCCGGATCCGGGCGGCGGCGGCTGCGGAAACGACTCGGGCTGCGCGGCCACGGGCGCCCCGGAGCCCGCGGGGAGCTGGGGGGCCCCGGGCTGCACGGAGAGCCGCCGAGCCCCCGCGCCGCCCGCAGGACTGGCGCCCCTGAACCCCCGGACGCTGCCGCGGCAGCTGGAGGAGCGGCAGGAGGAGGAGGAAGCCGGGAACCACCGAAAGGAGGAGGGAGGGCGCGAGCCGCCCCCCGGAGAGGAGCCGCCGCCCGGGGCGCGCGTGGGGAGCCCGGACGCCCTGGTGCTGGACGTGCTGGGCCAGCGGCGCCCGCCCGCCGCCCGGAGGCAGGTCTTCTGCTCCGTGTTCTGCGTGGAGAACGTGCTGCCCCCGGACCCCGCCGCCGAGCCGCTCCCGCCGCCGCCCGCCGAGCCGCCGCGGGCCCCGCCGCCGGTGATGGACGCGCCGGGCACCCCCTCCTCCTCCCTCCCGAGCCCCCGGCCGGCCCTCCCCGCCGCCGCCCGCCTGCCCCCCGACGGCGGCGGCGGCGGCGGCATCGAGCTGGAGTTCTACCTGGCGCCCGAGCCTTTCTCCGCGCCGCCCCGCCTGCTGGGAGCGCCGCCCTACCCCGGCCTGGGTGGGGCGGGGGACCCCTACGCGCCCCTCATGGTGCTCATGTGCCGGGTCTGCCTGGAAGACAAGCCCATCAAGCCCTTGCCCTGCTGCAAGAAGGCCGTGTGCGAGGAGTGCCTCAAAGTCTACCTGAGCTCCCAGGTAACCCCCCCACCCCCCTCCCTGCCCTGCGCCCCGGCCCGCTTTCCAAAGCCCTGGCCCGGAAGGGCCCTCGCCGGCTCCCCGCTCATTGCAGGAAGAGGTGGGGTACACACCCGTCCCGGGAACCTCCGACAGACCCTTTCTTACAAGTCAGTGGTTGGAATGTCATTATCCCAGCGTGTTTTCCCTCCCTGGGTAGGCGGACTGGAAGTTAACTCTGCTCTGAGTTGCAGGCATTGGTTGGTTGGCAGCAGAGGAAGGAACGGGGCACAGGGAATGGCCCTCTGCTTATGTCTTTTGCTAGAGCCTGCTCCACGAGGTGGGCATTGAGGATGCCTCCCAGCTTGGGGTCGCAGAGACCAGCGCTTGGTGAACACAAGATAACTCTGTGGCCTTGTGAACAGAAGGGTCCGTGATATCTGATTTTTTTTTTTTTTTTTTAAAGTAGCAAATGATGAAATGTAAGCAGAGGAACAGGACCAGGTAGGGCTGCAGGCTAACATGTGCTCCAGTTATCTATTTCAGATGTGTCATTTGTTTATTCCTTGGCTCTTGCCCATTTTTCAGGTTTTCTCTTTCCACGGTGAAGTTCAAGTGCTTTTCCTCACTGAACTCTTATGCCAGCACAGTACTTTTTATTGATTTAAGAGGGAACAGCACAGAAAGGGCAAAGCAAAGCTGAGAGGTTTAACAAAACCAGTGCTGGTGACACGTTCTTCCTTCGCTCCCTCTGGACGCTTGGTGGTTTTTTTGGTGTGTGTGTGTGTGTGTGTGTGTGTCCCTTGGAAAGATGAAGAGGGCAACAGACCTGCTTTCCCTCACGGATGCTGGATGCATTCTTCCAGCACTTTTCAGGGTTATGTTTCTGCCTGTGTGTTTTGCACAATCTGGAATGCCCTTTGATCTCTGACTGTCCTAGGCCTATTCATCTTTCAAGCCCTGGCTCTTCAGGTGCCAACTTTTCTGTGTAGTCTTCCCTGCCCCCTGCTCCCTGGTCCTCTCTCCCCACCCCCTCACCCCAACCCCTACCTTCACCCTCAACCCCCCCCCCCCTACTCACCTGGCCACTGTTTATATACTTTCAAAATACTTCGTGTGCTTTCCATCCACTGAAGTTATTCCTGATGTGTGGGTTTGTCTTGCCAGACTGTATGGCCAGTGACTTGTATTCCTTGTATCTGGCAGTTTCATGTTGAGCCCCTTTCCTTTAATAGTGTTTGATAACACTGGCTGAACAGGATTTCACCCAGCGCAGCATGGCTCCTTTGTGTTCCGTGGCTAATCTCTGCTTGCGTCTAGACGGAAAGTGTGTGTGCACTGTGCCCGACTGAGAATGCAAAGGGAAAGTTAGACGGAATGGAATGTTACACAAACAGTAACTTGCCCAAGATTGTTGAGATTATCCGAACGTCTGTGCGAGCGAGCGAGAGAGAGAGAGAGAGAGAGAGAGAGAGAGAGAGAGAGAGAGGGAGAGAGAGAGGGAGAGAGACACGACGGTGTTTCTTTCATGGTTTATCCGCAAACAGATACTTAACGCAGGAGGCTGTCTGCTGCTCACTGTGGCGGTTTCTATGACATCACCGCCAAACAAAATTAAGCTGTCACACAAATATTTGTGCCATCCGCGTGCAGTCATGGGATGGGCTTCAGGCGTTCCCAAGAGATGGGCCCCGCTCCAGGGAAGTAAATCACTGTGAGAGCAGATGTGTGCACAACAATCCGAAGTAGCAAATGCTGAGATGTAAACAGAGGGACAATGCCAGGTAGTGCTTCGTGTTAAACACTGGATACAAGTGCAGTGGGTTACAAGCTCTGGACGGGAAGTCCCTACTCAGGGTTCTCTGCATCGCAGTTTGATTGGTTTCCTTAATGAAAATGGGCCTTTTCCCCAGAGCATGTTTATTTTATTTTATTTTATTTTATTTTACTTTATTTTACTTTATTTTATTCTTACTTCGGTGAGTGAGTTTTAGGAAGTCAGTGTTTTGATCTCTAGTGGGGAAGAAACGGGAGTGGGAGGGAGGGGCAAGGTGAAGTGTCAGGCAATAGGCAACTGCTGGAAAAACTCTTCTGAAGTGTCATAGTACCTGACGGTTGTTTGCAGCACTTAGGATTGCATGCCTGTTCCCGGCTTTCTTCCAAAGCATCTGACAGAACTTTCAATGGGGAAAAATGTGTTATTGAAGATAATAAACAACAACGAAAAGATGCCTCATGCTGGCCAAGCATGCTCCCGGTCAGGGCTGCTGCTCTGGTTCCCAGTGCCTGGAATAGCTTTGATGCTGGCTGGCTTACTCCTCTCCCTTCTCCCTTCCAGTCTGGATGCAAATGTCACCCTTATGGCTTCCCTCTCCACTCTTTTCAAAGATGAACTGCACCCCGCAATCCCAGTCTCCTTTCCTGCTTATTTTGTCCATAACACTAACGTGCTGTAACTTATATTTCTGTAATTCATTTCGAAAACAGGAGTGTTCTCCTGATTGGTTCACTACTGTTTCTTTAGCGCCTAGAATACTGGATGACATATAACAGATGCTCAACCAATAGTTACTGAGTTTGTGAAAAGGTGAGTGACAAAGGATGAGATAACCCCCAGGAAGAGGTGTTCTGCTTTGGCACTAAATTCTCTCTGAGCTTCTTTTTGTTTAAGACAAAAGACAGAGACTTCATGGTTTTAATATAGAAGGCAGACAAAACTGATAGGTTTGCTAACTTGGTTAATTAACTTGGAACTACAGAGTTTTTTGGCAAACTTTTAGCTTGTAAAAAAATGACTTTTTTTTAAGTTGGATAAAAATGTGGGATTGCGGTTATAACTAAGATCCCTTCTATTCAGAGGGTCTGTGTTTCTGTGTCACTTAACCTCTCTGTCTTACTTTCCTCATCAGTGAAGTGGGATTGCAGATCACGGTCTGTAATACTCACTAGTGCTAAAGCAAAACAAAGTCAAACTCCAGATTTGTTGCCTTACTACACCAGATCAAAAGGGCCTAGTTAGTGCTTTCTTTCTCGTCTTGGGTTTGACAGGAACAAATCTGTCAAGCCTGAACTTGCAGCATTTTAAAGGTCTTTAAAAAAAAATGATACAGCTCGGCCCTGATGGCTCAGGGGTTGAGCATAAAACTATGAACTAGGAGGTCATGGTTCGATTCCTGGTCAGGGCACATGCCTGGCTTGTGGGCTCAATACCCCATGTGGGGATTGTACAGGGGGCAGCCAATCAGTGATTCTCTGTTATCACTGATGTTTCTCTCTCTCTTTCCCTTTCCCTTCCTCTCTGAAATAAATAAATAAATAAATAAATAAATAAATAAATAAATGCATGTATATATGTATGTACGTGTGTGTGTGTGTATATGTGTGTGTGTGATGTATATATATTTTAGATAATATATTTCAAATAAAAAGTTATTAGTGACTTTGTCACCATTTTCTGAGTCTGTGCCAAATAGTGCAGTTTTTAACACCATTTAAAGCCGATCCCTATTAAGCATTATGTACAAACAAAAATACACCCTAAGTGTGAGTTGGACTATCACCTGGTTAAATTAACTTTCTCCTTAAAGGAGATGCTGCATTCTTTGAAAGAAGGTATGAATGTGGATGTGGAAAATAGGAAGACAGATTCCTAGATGAGTTTTATTTCCATTTGAGACATGGACTGAATATGTGGTAAAGGTCAGTGGCTAACTCATCATTATTTCAGTACAGACCTAACAAATTAGTCAATAGCAAATAATCTGCATACTGTGGTTTAAAAATAATAGTTTTGTTTTTCAAAATATAATTCTTCTCCAGGTATTGCTGTGACTTAAGGCTGTGGGGAACCCTTCTTAATGGAATGACTTTTTTTTTTTTTTTTTTTTAATCATCACCCAAGGATATTTCTCCACTGATTTTTAGAGTGGAAGGGAGAGGGAGAGACAGAGAGAGACACATTGATTGGTTGCTTCCTGCATACCCTGACCAGGGCCAGGAGCCTGAAACTGAGGTATGTGCCCTTGACTGGAATTGAACTTGGGACCCTTCAGTCCACAGGCTGACACTTTATCCACTGAGCCAAACTGGCTAGGGCAGTGCTCTGCAAACTGCAGCTCTCGAGCCGCATGCTTTGGCCCCTTGAGTGTGGCTCTTCCACAAAATACCACGGCCTGGACGAGTCTATTTTGAAGAAGTGGCATGAGAAGAAGTCGAAGTTTAAAAAAAAATTGGCTCTCAAAAGAAATCTCAATCTTTGTACTGTTGACATTTGGCTCTGTTGACTAATGAGTTTGCCGACCACTGGGCTAGGGCAGTGGGATGATTTCTCAGTGTGATCGGTACCATCTAGTTTCCAGTTGCCATGGTGAAGGGTTGACCTGATCAGTTGCAGTCTTTGGCTCTCCATAGGCATTGACTCAGCGGCTGTCGAGCACTGTGACAGAGCTAGGGGCGTTGTATTGGTTCATGTTGCCTGGGTACGTGACGCTTTGGTGGGTAACATTTAGAAGCGCATTTCCCAGTGACCTGCCAGTGCAGCAGTGACCATGGCGGAAGCACGCAGTCCCGGGGATGTCTGCAGCCTCCTGCAGGCCTCTGAGCCATGGAGATGTTGACTTCCTCAGCCGGCTTGGCTTTTACCACGTTTTCCTAAGAGGAGAAGTGGTTGCTTTCCTTGTCTTATACGATGCTGTGAAATGAATTGATCTCATTTCAGAAATCCTCCACAGACCTCTTTTCTTTGTGATCTTGACTTTAGATGGTAAAAGTCTGTTACAATATTTAGTGTTAATATTTAGTCCTTTAGATAAAAAGGCAGGAGAGAGCTGGGCAGGCTCAGGGCTGTCTCAAGGTGGCAGCTGTTGTGGCTTTCATCACTCCGCTTCAAAGTGGTCGCAGTTGGCAGATGCATAGGAGCTGGAATGCATACACCTGTCGAGTGAATATTAATAGAGACGCGCAGAACATTTCTCCTGCGGATTTTGAACCAAACAGCTGCGAGATGGCGACGCCGTAGAATG